AAAATGATGTTTATCCTAATTCTAACCAACTTATGTTAAGGAATTCAGTTGCGTATCACTAGTTGACAATAGCGGAATAGCCAATATTAAATATTCTGAATTTTTAAATGTTTTGAGAATCTAAAAATTTTCCGGAATGTTTTCTCAGAATGCTGGAAATGCCATTTCAGAGACCCAAATTTAAAAAATTTTATGGGGGAGTATGCCCCGTACCACCCTAGAAATCTCGCGCCTTCGGCGCTCATTTCGCCATTGGTTAGCACCCCCCAAAAAAACTTTGCTGGACCCACCACTGGGGGGGGGGGGCTGCTGCCCCCCTGCCTCGTACGCCTATGTCTAGCATTCGTCATAATGTTGTATTTATGTAGAGTTGCCATTTTGAATAGTGTTTCCAGATTTCATTGAAAAGAATTTTTTTGAAGTCAAGAAAAGTCATGAAGATTGTAAGGCAATTTGAGGTCGACAGTTAGCAAAGTGCATAGCAAATACATTTCTTTGCTTGTGTGCATTTCTTGTGATATTATGTTAAAATATTTCATTAAAACCACCAAAACTCTTGATGATGATACAGCCAATGATAATAATGACATTGTAGTTCCCATAGTTCGCATTTGAGTGCATACTGATAGCAAAATATCAGTGAAGTTGACACTTAGACTGTAATAATCAAATAACCCTGTCAACTTTTAAGAAATTGAACTGTGTAAGTTCCTTTTAGGATTCTAGTCTATAAAATGTGATGGATGAAAATGCTTGACTAAGAGTAAGCCTTAGAGTGATGTTGGGTCTGGCCCTGGGATATGAAGAGCCAATTAGTTAAGTATCCAGATATGGGATACTGGATTATCGGGAAGGATACCAAATTTTAAAACCTTGGTATCTATGTGGATGCTTAAAAAAATCAAATTTCAGATCCTGCGCCATTGAAGCGCTGTTGACTCGGGGACTATACTCCCATCCTCAACAGGGCTGTGCAGGCTAAAAAATATGCTGTACCATCAGTATTCAAATTGGAATTCAAACTGCAAAGCATACCAAAAGAGGCTAGAAGCTGACTGGAAATGCCTGAAGGAAATTCCACCTTATCAAGGCCATAAATGTCCAATGTCACATCTATTGTCAACAACATATCATGATCACTGCTATGGAAAACGGCAAAACTAACACAGCAGACACCACTGTAGGAAATCAATGATAATTCATGTCAAGAAGAAATTTCTAAAAAACAATTAAAACATAAAATCAAAAACTTATAGCAGCAATTGCAAAGATGTAAGAAGAAGATAGGGAACATGGGAACAAAACTTACTGACAAACTGCAAAAACAGCTCATCATAAAATTGAATGTGGCAGATAAGTTACATGCATCATTCGACAAAATTCAATTGTCTATTACAGAGTTTGCCATGTGGCCACCATTATACTGATGATATCAAAGAATTTGCATTAACCTTGCACTTTTATTCTCTAAAAGCATATCAATAGGGCCATTTATACGGGACAAAATAAGTCGCGACTTACATAAGACGCGACTTAAATAAGACGCAAGTTTGTCGTATAAAAGGTACAAAATTGTTATGTAAGTTGCGTCTTGAATAAGACGCGACTTAAATAAGAACAGGAATTTTAGCTGTTCTTATTTAAGTCGCGTCTTAAATAAGACATTTTGGATAAAAAGTCCAACTGCACATGCCCGAAACAATGTAAAATTATTAGCCTTGCTATTAAAACAAAAACAACCAAAACAACATAGCTATAGCAAGTAAATAAGAGTAGAGCCGTAGAGAACCATTTATACGATAACTCCGCTCAGGGGCGGATCCAGACTCAAAACTGACCGTGGCTCCTAAATTAAACCACGCATAACTAGGGGGGTCCGGGGGCATTACCCCCTGGAAAATTTTTGAAATTTGAAGCCCAGAAACACCATTTCCTGCAATCTGAGCGGCGTATTTCCTCCTCAAATTTCGGTCTATGGACGGCGAAGCATGGCCATCATTTGCTTTTGGTGCCACCAAAAGTGATATTAAATATATCAACAGTTTGGGTAGGATAGTATGATTGAATTGTAAGCCAATTACCGTCGCTAAGGTAAACATCATCAACGTGAATTCGTAATTATGCGCATTATGCATTGCTTCTTCAGTAGGCTAACTGCTGCTGTATGATCATATTTTCAAAAACTGAAAACCAAATGGGCATTTGTTCCTTCCACGTATACATGCAGCCAAGTTGTGACATTTCCTATACCTTCACACAATATACCTTTGCCAGATGAAGTTGAGCTATTTGAAGTGTATGACTATGCATTTTGTAACAGCTATTTTGGCCTTGCTTAGGGTTAATTGCACAACTTCACCTGTAAGTTATACTGATAAAATTGTATCAAGTTTGTTGTGTTTTTGGCTTTGTTTAAATTGAACAACTAGGGATGAAGTGTTTATAGTTTAGGACGATGTTTATATTTATATTCGTAAAGTAATTTTGAACAGCAAGTTTTTGTTAATAAAGTAAAACAGAATACTGTCTATCAATTATTGTTGCTATATTTCTTCAAAGCGTTGCCAGTACAGCATAGGATGTAATTAATATTTTTTATATTTTAAAATGCTTGGTGAAGGTTAAGAGGTTCAGTGGCCGCTGTGTTTGTGTATACATTAGGATGCAATTCAGTACACCAACTTGGTGGCCTAATAGTGAGTGTTCAAATGATGCTGAAATATTAACCTAAATGTTTTGAATCTTGTTAAAGTGGAACTGCCGAACTGGAAAACACTTCTTGGCCTTAATCAAGCATTTAAAAACGAAATTGTGTGTATAATACAGTAGTTTAAACAGTCTTTGGAAAATATAGTGCTAATATCAGCCATATTTTCAAATTGTTAGCACTCGTAACAGCTATCCAGAAAAGATGTGAGACAGCTAATGTTGGATTCAATTTTAGAATTTGTTTTGTGATCAGTAAAAACAAGTCTATTAATTTAGTTTATTGTACGATCATCCAGATTAAATTTTAATTATTTCTGACGTTTCGGCTACCTACATGGCAGCCATTATCAAAGACGTATTACAGTTACAAAAATTTACAGTTATAATAATTCTACCTTGCGTCAAAAATGACGTGCGCGTGTTCGTGATGTTGTTTGCTCGCACCTGCGTTCAAGGCATGAGAGCCTGCGTTCATGCGTGATTAGTCCAGCGTATGCTCCTGGTATATCGCGGCAAATGTTAATGCTGTTTTCATCGCATTTTGTAAACCAACTTTCTAGGAACATTCTCTCACCCTCAAAACCATTAAACTCCATACAAGTGGCTCCCTCCCAATCAATTCTATGACTTGTTTCCATATGATGAACCGCAATTCTATTCGCCACGTCTTGTTTCTCTGTTGATCACTTATGTTCTTTAATGCGACAATCTAGAGTACGTCCAGTTTCACCGAAATAAGTTGCGGGGCATTCAGCGCAGGTTACTTTATAAACTGTTCCTATCCGGGTCTTTGTATTGGTTGGATCTTTCACTTTCGTTAAGGTATTTCTTAGCGTTACTGTTGGTTTGTGAGCCACACTGATGTTGAAAGGTCGTAGGATTCTTGCAATTCTTTCCGATGTACCTTTGATGTAAGGGATGGTGGCAATGGTCTTCTTCCGTTCAGTTTTGTCGGTAGTTGGTGTTGTTTTCCTGGAATGTTCAATTACGTGGTTCACAAAAGGTTTAGAATATTTGTTGATGGTAAAAACTTTATCAAGGTGCTGCAACTCATCTTCGAGGGTTTCACTAGAACTGCAAACTGCATGCGCTCTCTTCACTAAGGTTGCTATTGTAGCTGACTTGTGCGAGGTTGGGTGGTAGGATGAATTATCTAATAAACGGCTGGTGCTGGTGGGTTTTCGATAGACACTTGTTTGAAGGGAATTGCCGTCTCTGGTTATCATGCAGTCTAGGAAAGCAGTTCTAGTGAAACCCTCGAAGATGAGTTGCAGCACCTTGATAAAGTTTTTACCATCAACAAATATTCTAAACCTTTTGTGAACAACGTAATTGAACATTCCAGGAAAACAACACCAACTACCGACGAAACTGAACGGAAGAAGACCATTGCCACAATCCCTTACATCAAAGGTACATCCGAAAGAATTGCAAGAATCCTACGACCTTTCAACATCAGTGTGGCTCACAAACCAACGGTAACGCTAAGAAATACCTTAACGAAAGTGAAAGATCCAACCAATACAAAGACCCGGATAGGTACAGTTTATAAAGTAACCTGCGCTGAATGCCCCGCAAATTATTTCGGTGAAACTGGACATACTCTAGATTTTCGCATTAAAGAACATAAGCGATCAACAGAGAAACAAGACGTGGCGAATAGAATTGCGGTTCATCATATGGAAACAAGTCATAGAATTGATTGGGAGGGAGCCACTTGTATGGAGTTTAATGGTTTTGAGGATGAGAGAATGTTCCTAGAAAGTTGGTTTACAAAATGCGATGAAAACAGCATTAACATTTGCCGCGATATGCCAGGAGCATACGCTGGACTAATCACGCATGAACGCAGGCTCTCATGCCTTGAACGCAGGCGCGAGCAAACAACATCACGAACACGCGCACGTCATTTTTGACGCAAGGTAAAATTATTATAACTGTAAATTTTTGTAACTGTAATACGTCTTTGATAATGGCTGCCGTGTAGGTAGCCGAAACGTCAGAAATAATTAAAATTTAATCTGGATGATCGTACAATAAACTATATTAATGGCAAACCCTGGATTCAAGCCCTTCAGTGAAAAACAAGTCTGTTAAAACAGTTTGTTTTCGTCAAGAATATCGTTTCCAACGTACATATTATCTCAGTTACCCCAACTATTTGTACATGATATGGTACTATTGCACTATGGGACCATTTAATTCTCTAATTTTACGTTCTGCAAGTTGGAGAGCATTTACATAAATGTAAACTCCCATGTCGTGTCATGGAGATAGGGGGTTTATGTTCTCTAAGACAAATGACCATATATCTCTTCATTATTATCTAACATCACCTCTGGAACTACTACAGCACCGTTGTCTTCCAGGGGTGATGGACCTTGGGGATCATACCCGTAATATTCAACATCATCCGGATTATCATCAAACTGCAAATGAGCAAGAGAATTTCTTTCATGCATCATACCATTGAGCCACATCTGATAAGGAGTCCAGTTATTCTCTGTCCTAACCGCATGATGGTTAAATGCCTCTTTGTATTTGTCTAGGGCATGATTAATTATTGAAAGATACAAAGCTTGGAAGATGTAAAGCAAACAGATGCATTGAATCTTCTGGGTTAAGAATTCCAGACATTTCCATGCCATAAAAAACGTAATAATACATGTGGCAGAGACATCTATATACATCCCTGCAGAGCCGCTCAATCCTTTGATTGTGTGTGGAAGGACCAGGAATAAAACTGCCCCTTTCTTCTCCTCTCGTCATTACCATAGCTTCACAAACTAACACGTTTTCCACACCTCGGTCTACACGAATTCTCGATGGCCATAAGCCGCCGTCATTATCAATCGCTTCTAAAAATAATGTTAACACAGTCACAGTTAAGTTATTTGAACTGCATTTAAGAAACATTATTCTTCTAGAGAATCCGTCGATGCACCAATAAATAATCAGTTTCCATCTTATGAGTGAATGATGGCCATCCAATTGCCAAAGAGAATTTCGCCAAGGTACACTGTAGACCCTGTGGGAGACAGTGACACCCCACCTCAACGCAGTATTTGGTGGGTCTAGCCTCGCTAGACATTCTGCACATGGTATCCTAGGGATTTTATGTAGCCTATGATATGTCTGTCCAGATGTTGTTCCATGGTGATCTATATAATTTCTGACGAGATGGTCTAGCTCTTCATTTGGTAACTGACTAAAACCCACACATATCCTATAGAATAGAATAGAATAGAAACTTTATTTCACGGGGGAAAACGTATCAACCGTAAAAGGTATCTAACATACGGCCTCGCACTATTTTGATATTTACAGGCATAAAAAGTATTGAAGATTACGACTATTTACATTTGAGGAAAAAAAATAATTAGTAATGAATACAATTACAATTTAGTAAATATTTACAATTTATACAAAATAGATCTTCGATATGCTTAGTATAAGAAAGATTTTATGAATTTTTTGTTTGGCGTTAGTATATGAAGAGCAAGATGGCAAAGCAGCAAATTGCTTACAATCGCTATCTAAGCAATTAAAAAGAATGGAAGCATGGTACAGAAATGTTTGTTTACCAGAGTCAGTACATGGGAAGGGGTTGAAAGGTCATATAGCCCCTTGTCCAACAGAAGATAAGAATTTAAACATTTGCTTAAATGAAGATGGAGCACTGGGATTTGTGAGAATGTTAATTAGTAAGAGAAGCTTCCTAAATTTAACAAGATCAAAGATTGGGATTATTCGAATCTGGGAAAAAAGAACAGAAGGAGTAGAAAAGTCAGCGTGTAGAATAATATGTGCTGCACGCTTTTGCAGTCGAAGAATGCAAAGTAAAAGTGTTTTTGAGCAGTTTCCCAAAGTTACCGAGCAGTAGATAAGACTTGAATTAATACAGGAGTTATAAAAACGAAGAGCACAGTCCTTAGCTAAAAAGGGTTTAATCCTGCATAATAAAGCAAGTCTACTATTGATTGTTGAACACAAGTTGTCAATATGCTTGGTCCAAATTAAAAACTCGTCAAGTGTTAAACCCAACACTTTTGCTTGCTTCACCTGTGCAAGTATGTTGCCATTAAGAGTAACTGATAGAGAACGGTCTGAACTATTCTTAAGTTGTTGGGGAGAATGAATGAGCATGGACTTGGTTTTCAATGTATTGGTCACCATTCGGTTTTGTTGAGTCCATGTTGAGAGATCTTTAGCAACAAGGTTAAGTTTCACATTTAAATCATGAATGGAAGAACCTTCTGTTAGAACAGTGGTATCATCTGCAAACATTGTGGATTCTGAGTGCGAAAGTTGAGAAGGGAGATCATTGATAAATAGAATAAAAAGAAGGGGGCCAAGAATACTTCCTTGAGGAACACCTATCTTAACAGGACGCATATCGGATGTGTTTTTAAAATAAGTGTGTTGATAACGATCACTAAGATATCACGTAAACCATTTCAATGCTAATGGAGAACATCCGAACATTCTAAGTTTCAGAATTAGGATTTCATGATCAACAAGATCAAAAGCCTTTTTGAAATCAACAAGAAGAAGTCCATCTAATTTTTTGTTATCAATATTAGTTAAAATCTTATCAGTAAGATGAGTGACTGCTAATTCACATGAGCGAGATGTTCTAAACCCAAATTGATTTTCAACAAGAAGATTATACTCAGTTAGAAAGTGATAAAAATAATTATGAACATGGCGTTCAAGTATCTTAGAGATAACGGCCAGAACTGAGATAGGGCGAAAGTTAGAACGGTCAAATAGTGAACCCAATTTGAAAAGAGGTGAAAGCTTTGCAATTTTCCACAAGTCAGGAAAAGGGTACATCCTCGGGTAGAAGAATTTGCATCACAGACTACGTCATCAGTTAGTTATAGCGATTAGTTTTGAGGTTAGGGTAAGGGTTAGGGTAAGGGTTAGGGTTAGGGTGAGGGTTAGGGTAAAGATTAGGCTTAGAGATAGGGATTTGGTTATATCTGACGCCACAAACAACACAACTAGCCGATCACGTGATCACTTCTCCTCTACCCGAGGAACTACCCCAGGAAAACTAGCCGAATTAATACTGAGATTATATATCTTTGTCAGAGCAGGTGAAATAGCTGTTGCAGCTATTTTAAGAAAATATCCACCAATTCTATCTAAACCAGCGGCTTTAGTTTCAGGCAGATGATTAAGGCTGTTTCGAACAAAACTTTCAGATATTGGGGGAATAGTAAAGGTTGTATTTGGAGGAATTTTAGAAGAAAGAAAATTAGAAAGGTATTCCCAATTTGAATTATTAGTAAAGCTATTAAGCGAAACAGAGTTTCGTATGTTAGTAAAATGATCATTAAATGGATCAGCGATATCTTTAGGATTAGTCAATGTCTTACCAATAGTCAAGTGGTTAGGAGAGTTAGAGTGATTGCCAAGACAGGGGAGTGTTCGTGGAGATAGCACAGTGGTGTAAATAATTTCGTTTTTTAATTGCCTCACTTATTTCACAGGAAAACCATTCAGGTTGATTGACTCTTTTGACACGCTTTTTCTTTAATGGTGCGTGATTATTGAGAAAATCATTAAACAAAGAGTACCAGTGCTCAACAGCTTCATTGATATCAGTGAACATATCTAAAGTATTCCATGGTATGTTTTTTAAATCAGCTACAAATTGCTCTGCAGAAGAATTCTTTAGTGATGGGTAATCAATGTACTTATGTTTGTTTGAATTTGAGAAGTTACTTCGTGTAGTCCAATTAACAAAGACTGGTAAATGATCACTTATAGAAATCGGTAAGGTTCCAGATGTGGAGACATTATCTTTATGAGAAACATAAACGTGGTCAAGCAAAGATCTTGAGATAGGCCTGTATGGTACGGTAATAAGCTGAACGAGATTAAACGTAGCAAGTAAATTTTTAAAGCGTGTGTTACATGTATCAGATAAGTCAAAATTGAAGTCTCCAAGAATTATTGTTGGGTTACTTTCAGCATCCGTTTTAGATATCATAGAGTCTAATGTATCCAGGTAAGCAGCACCGGAAGAATACAATACTAATATGGGTTTTGAGTTAGGAAAATTAATCTCAATCCATATGCATTCAATTCCATTAATTTCCAGATCCAGGCGTCTTTTGAAAATTAAATGCTCCGGGATGTATATCAGAAGGCCACCACCTTTTTTACCATTTCTGTCAGAATGAAGGAAGGTGTAGTGATCAACAGATAAGATCGCATTATCCCATGAGTTGTCTAAGAATGTTCTGGAAAGGCCAAGTATCATATTTGATTTGATGGATTTTGATGGGGAAATTCGATTTGAAAGTATCAGTTTGATTTCATCTAATTTATTTGTTAACGAAAATTTAGACCTTTGAATGGTAATGGCAAATCTTTGTACATATTCGTAGTAACTGAAGAATTAGCGGTATGAAGATTATTATTCATAGCTGACGAAGTTGTATTTACAATTAGGAGACAGGTTATTGGTAAGTGTGGGTTCATTGTTTTGAAATGGACCAGGATTGAGTTCGATATCATGAATCAGTTTGATAATAGGGTGAAATGACGCGGTACTGTTACAGTTGTAAAGTACTCGTGCCGACGAACAGCAACAGTTGAATTTAATTACAAATATTGTTGAGTGTAAATGAAAATTGGTCATCATGGCGGGTTCTCCAACAAGTTGAGATGCCAGGGCTTCATTTCGGCAGAGTGGGTAAAAAACAAGTAATAATAATACAAGGTGAAAATTCATGTTCGTATCAAATATGGACTTGGATATAGACTGCAATGTGCATTAATCCAGGGGAAATCCCAAATATATGGGAATGAAGTATCAGATTCCAATTTAGTGTCAAAGGTTAACATATAGAGTATATGTGGAAATTACAATAATACCAATGGTGGAATATGATATATATATAGTTAAATGTTATTCCAAATGTCAAAGTTGACAAAAACTGTAGCGAATGATAAAAACAATATAAATCCAAAGTATAAAAAAGATTTGAAATACGTAGAACCAAGTTACGCTGCCGTAAAGTTGTTGCCTAGGAATGCAACGTGGCAAATTCAAATTTAAAGCACCAACAGTCAAAATAACAACAGTTTGATAAAACACGAACAAGGAGACCAAATTAACACGCGAAAGTTATAACACCTTTGGTAGAATACGTAGCAAGTTACACACGAATACGACAAATAAAGCCAAAGATAATGAGCAATATCCAAAAGTTCAGCTTCGCAGCATGTGACACAACAATAATGAACACAATATGATAAGACGATCCAAAATAACTTTACACCACAATATAAATCCAATTCCAAAATACGATAAATAGATACACATGGTCTTTAGCTTTAATTTAACTCATTAACGCGCAAGCTGTTACAATGTTTCTACTTCCCAACGTGCAAGCAATATGGCGAATATGTGATTGAATTCAAGAGCTTTCACCAAAATGGCAATATCTCAAACAATTCAATGAAAAAATCTGGTCTTTTCAACCAAATATTATTGATATATGATTGACCAAATTTAGTTTAAATGAACTTGCATACCTATATATCAGGCGGTGATTGCACTACGACCGCAATGCATCATGAGTAAAATAAAAAATTCACTCATTAGCGTTCTGACGTTCGAGGTGAAAACACTGTGCACGGCCAAGCGATGGGTATATAAAATTGTCTATTGCCCTTCTTGAAAGAATCAACAGTGGCAGTACATGTCAAAGAACTTCTGGAAAAGTTTGTGCAGTCGATGCATCCTGCTGACTGCACAAAGCGTTAGCTGTGAGTTTCAAAGGTTTGGCGATGATCGCAAGTATGTTTGTTTTAATTTATTTATATGTTTACTTATTGGTTTGTGCAGTGTTTCAATCGCTAAACTTATGTATATTCTATTTGCTTTATTGTTCTTTATATGACTGTATTGTTATTATAATTATTATGCAAATGTTTCAGGGTTGTGGATATACGGTAAAAGTATGCATAGACACGGAAACTTTTCTGCAATATTATATTATTTAATACATATACAATATGCAAGCTACTGTAAAATTCCATGTAATTTTAGTTATGCTTTAATAGAATTTGCCCATCATTTTAGTACTTCCAATGCCATCATCGGTCACAATTTCTATAGTTTGACTACACAATCTTACCTAAAAACTATGGGACGAAAATCATAATCTTCACATATTTTGTATGCCATGCCAATTCAATTTTTGGGATGATCACAAATATTGTAAATATTATGCAGCATTGAATAGAGATGTTGAGGGGTAGGGGATAATAATGTGACTGAGGTGCTGTTTATATGATCTCGGGTAATAGAGACACTCTCTACCCTCCGAGCTACCCTGGGAGAGGCAAAATTATATTCATTATATAACATTTAAACGCAAGTGTTTATATGGAAAGTTTTCAACTCGTCTGGGCTGGTAGGGTCACCCTGGCAGTAGGGACACCCTGTTTACAAAACAGGGTTACCCTTGTAGGAGGGACAACTTTTGTCCATGTGTTTACATGTTTGTCTCGGCTTCCATGGAGTCACAATCTCGTACTTAGAGCCATTCTCATAGGAAGAGATTAAATGTGCAGTAAAGTTGTCTCGGGTGGGGATTGGGTGTCTCTAGTATCCAAGATCATATAAATACAGTAGCGCCTAAGTAATAAAAAATCATTGCAATGGCAATTTGCAGCTGGCAGAAAAACACCTTGCATAACAATATATGGAGAGTAAGAAAAATGATGTGGTTTAAATTGAACCACATACTATCTAGTTTTCAAGAACTTTGTTCTAGCCTTCCACTCACTAGAATTTACCCAAAAAATTTTTAAAAAATTCCAAATCCTTACACCTTGCCTATACCCCTCCCCAGAATTTACATTTTATTGGTGCACGGGAATGTCACAACAATTTATAATCCATGCCAATGCCTTGCTAATCAGACGTTTGATCAATTTGTTTTGCAAAATTCAAATTCCTGTTTTTAAATGACACCCCTTTTATGTACAAATGCATAAAAAAGTATAGAGAGTAAATTGGAAACTAGTTGTGTGCAGTAAATAACAATTTGTTATTATCCACCTTTCAGCTTTGCTGTGAAAAAGATATTCAATTCAGTACATAATGGCGCCATATGAAGCAGATGCACAAATTGCATTTATTGTGAATAATGGATATGCTGGTTTTGCCAGGGCTCCTCGTCCCCAGGCGCTTTGATTTGAGGCTGCGGTTTTGCAGTGTCTGAAGATTCAGATCTTGTTGTATAGAGCGTTTGCACTCATTCCCCACGGGCCAACTCAACAAAAGCCATGGTGGCCATGTTGGTGTTCCAGACAAGAGTCTAATTAAAATTATTTTGAATTGGAACACCAACATGGTGGCTGTGACGTCATGTGCAAATGCTCTATATCAGTGTGAAAAGGTACAGCATGTATAACAATAATTAAAATGGGATGTTTTTGTTTGCATTTCAATGATGATGGTGGTCATGTATAGACTTAGTAAAACATTGTTCAATGAAGTGTTATAAAATATATGAATAACAAATTTATTGTGATTGTATATGCTTTATAAACAGCACAAGTGTAGTGGGTTTACAGTGTTTTAACAGTTTTTCTACATAACTCACAGCAGCATTCTTAGAACTTCCATCCATGCCAGCCCAGTTTGTGTTTATAGGTAAGTTTTTTCAGATTGGGAACCAGGTCAGCCTGGCTGTTCAAATATATAATTATGCAAAGTAGTTCATACCATAATATAATTAATACACTGTGTGCAACTATTGACATGGGTGTCCTGCTTTTAATGGGATGGCCTGGGTGGAGTAAAATTTACACAGAACTATTATTTTCAACATTGACTTGGTGAATGCCTGGGTATAATGCTGTACACTATTTGTGTGAGACACTATCCGTATTATGCCTGTACATGTACATGTATCTGTGTTATATTTACATCCGTAGTAAGGCATTCTGCAGCAATGTGGACTACAGTATGCATGTCATGTTTCAGTGCTATTTAAAGCTACAAACAAATGGTATGGGTAACTTGGTGGAAATGGCAAAAATTTTAACACATCTAAAATTAACCAAGGAAAAGTTTACTGAGTCATTGCCAGTTGCTCCAACTGACTATAATACAAGAAACAGTTCCAACAAGCACAAATGGTTTTTCACCACCAGACAGTCATTGATCCTGTCAAATATGAAACAGTCCCATTATTAAAGTCTGTTCTTCGCCTCTTTGGTTGTCCAACAGTCTGCCATTGGTCTTGCTCATTTTGACACACATTATTTTTTCCATTTCAAAATGTTTTTTTGCTTCTCTTTTGCGTTTATTATTTCTTTGCCGCTTTGTTTTTTGTTTGCCTGGCGTATGGGACTCTGGGATGCACGAACGCTTCCCCAAAATAGCGGGAGAACATGAACTCTGGACAAGAAGACCTGGAATTAGCAAAGGAAATATCATGATTTAAAAGCCCAAAAAAGATACAATATTGAGGGGCGCCAAGGGGCGCCATTTAATATGGTCACAAATAATGATCATAGATTATGCCAATTGCAATTTTAAATGTGATGTGTGAACGGTTAACCTGTGATATGAAAAAGTAAACAGACCAGTGTATTTGGGAAAAATACACGAGCTTACAATCAAATGATATTTTTTATCGAATTCCAAAAATTATCGATTTGAAAAGTAACACAGCATAACAATATTACATGCAACTTCCTTTTTAAGAAAAAACAAAAAGTTTAAACTTTAAAACATGGCAGAAAATAGAGCGCCAACATACCTTTCATCGTGCTCGAAATCCGCCATCTTGAAGAAAATATCCAAAATAATGCATTGCGGTCGTAGTGCGATCACCGCCTGGGACATAGCTAAAGACGTCAGTTTCAAAATTGTGTTTGGCTTTGTTCTAATTTTGGATATTTTAATAATGAGCAATTCACACAAACGATTCAGAAATATATTGCAGTTGTCAAAGAAATCGCCATATAAGCAGAATGACAAAATAAACAAAAATTTCCGAACACGATTTTTTAGAACAACTATTTGACTGTATAAAAATGATATTTTCATAAATATATCTTAAAACCAGCAGGAACATAACTCAAAAGCGTAAAGGTACCGCGACTTAAGATTTTCCTGAATAATTATTACATTATTTTATTGTTTGTCAATTTTACAACTTTATCATATTTTGCTTGCACTGGCTAACATTTGGTGAACATTTAATGAAAATCGGACTGATTTTGAGTGCGCAG